AAATGCTGTGAAGTCTTACATAAAGTGGGATACCTGGTCACACTTGCACCAGACTGGTTGCTGTGGCAACGGCTATTCTATTATAGAGTTAACATCCTCTATTGTAAACCAGTGTGGACTTTTGTGTCTTATCTTTTAATTTGAGTGAGTCATCTTCTCAAACATAGACAACTTGAGATGTTTACACAGTCTTGAAAGGTTTTTGAATAAATAAAACTCACACAAACAAACTAAACAGCTAATTACTTCCCAGCCCGCATTTTACTGTCAGCTACATAATGCATCACAAACAATAAGATAAATAAAACAAAATAATCAATTTCATTTATATAAAGGGCTATACAACATACCAACAACACAGTCTTTCTTTACAATTAATAAACAACAACAGCGACTGCTTGTCAAACTTTGAAACCAGCTAACATAATTGCATAGTTTCTCAAATCTGACCCTCAGATGCACAAAGGCAGCACACTTCTGTGAGGTGAATCCTTAAAGTAATTAACATCTATAGACTAAAACAACAGCATAAAAAATGAAATCAGGTGTAACATTAATTATCCAACAGTTTACCAACCAGGTGTTTATTCACTGAAGCATTTTACATGTTTGCCTGTAATGATAAATGAACATGCCATGTTTTTTTGGCATGCTATTAAACACAAAATGTCAACAACTTATATGGAGATAAGTGATGGATATGGGCTGCAGAATGGGAGAGCTGTTGGAGCATAAAATCACGAATGAACTGCAAAGTGAGGAATAGAAATGTGTTCATGGAGTGCGTTTATAGAGACTGGTAACATACATGAGTACATTGGCCACATGTAATTATTTCCCCTTTGTATTAATGTCAAAAAGTGATCATTTGAGGCGTCCTGATAGTTCACCTGGTAAAGCTAGTGCCCCATGTACCAAGGTTAGTCTGCTGCAAAGCGGCCATTGGTATCAACTCAACCTGTGGCCCTTTGCTGTCACTCTTCAGCTATCAGTATCAATTAAAGGCAATAAAAGCACCCCAAATATATATATATATAAAGGGATCATTTGACCCTGCAGCTTTCCGTTTGCACCTACTGTGTCAAACCCCTTAAAGGCCAGTTTTAATATTTGAAATTGAGCATTCATCTTAATGTGAACCCCAGGCTCATACAGCATTTTTAGCCACTGTGTGTGTTAACTGCCATTCATACCTCACACACTGGATGTGTATGAAACATATACTGTATAGTGAACACTTTGTTCTTATTATGTTACCTTTTAATTTCAACTCTGCCCATCCCCCTCCTGTCAGCTCGGCTGCTAACTGACACAGCTGTCAAAGCCTACCACTTTGTTAGAGCATCTGTGAAACAACATCCAACACATAGGCAGTTGAACATATGCCGCTTCAGACATGATGAGGAGGAAACAGAATGGGAATCTCTTTGAACTGATGTCTGAGGATGTAAAATGGAGAGTGTAGACCTTTTACTACATTACTAATTACATTTTCAACACACACCTTGTCTGTTCTAATCACACACTTATCAGTCTTGGTATTACTTTTGAGGTTCCTTTGGTTCATTTGGTTTCAGACTGCAAACTACAGGTACAAAAAATACAGACAACTACAATATAAATTATATAATGCAAATTTTATACCTTGAATTGATTATTTTTTGTGAAAAGGAGAGCTTGAGTTCCCAAAAGATTTTTTGACTCTTTAAAATCCAATATTGGGATCTTAAGCTCTGAGGCATGCAAGTCAAAAACAATATGCCCAATCTCCTCTCTGAGACTGTTTGAGAAAATACCCATTAAATGCTGAGGACAATGAAAATGATGTTGTTCCTGTTGGCTACATTAACTCAAGCTCTACTGACCCTGAAAGCTGCTGTCAGTTATGAAATTAATTTACTGAAATTAGCAAGAATATTTTCTGTAAATAAAGTGGACATTATTCATTTGGTTTGAATGGTTTCAGAATGACCAAGTTTCCAATTGTGACAGTGGAGAAATGGCTATTTTTTGTTTTGATTTCCCATGTCACCATTTTAATTGATTAGCATAATTGCATTATTGTTCATCTTTTTTGTTTTACGCTGTAACATGAATTACGGAACTGAGGGGTATACAATCTTATGAGACTAAATATGTGTCTCATATACTC